ATTGTACAACATAAAATTAAAATATTTTATTAAAAATTATAAATTAATAACAAACACTCACATCAATTACGTGATATTAAAATAAATGAATAAATATTATTTTTTGCATCATATCCGAGTAGAATAATGTTAGTAACATTACCTCAAGCAATGTTATAAGATATGTTGTCAATAAGTTTATTGTCAACAAACAAACATTGCAAACAAATCATTGTGGTTGAGTCGATGTAGTTTTGACATAATTTTAGAAAGATCATTGGATATTTTTATTGGTTAAAGGTTTCAGTGGAGACATTGATTCGTATTGGAATGTGAATTGAGTCTTGTGTGGTGGGACTTTTGTTGTGGGCCTTCTGTGAACTTGGATTAGTACTACCACTTGTGTTCAAATTTGGTGTGGACTTAAAGTCCATCATTTAGCGTGCATCTGGGTCATTTGACTTGGGGTCCTGTGGACTTGGATTAGTGTTATTTGTATTAGAATTTGGGGTGGGTCTGGTTCGTTTAAGGTGTGTCATCAGAGTCGTCATTTGGGTGCTTCTGGGTCATTTGATGTGGGCTCTTTCGTGGACTTAGATTAGTATCGGTGTTCGATGGCTACTCTCTCCTTAATTACTGACAATGAAGGTTTTCTTTCGTTCGATAATATTTTATAATATTTTATAATTTTTATCTTTCAATTTTAGATAAAATTTTATTTTAATCTTTGTATTTTAATAAAAAAAATTTTCTTTTAGTTTTTTACTTAAATTTTTTTTAATTCTTAAACTTAGAAGATATGAACATTTTAACCCTTAAATTAATGGAATTGTTAACTTTCTGATTACGTAAGAATAAAATATTTACAAGATCAATTATCAAAGATTAAAGATGTAATAATTTAGTTCCAAAGGTTTAAAATTAAAAAAAAAAATTTAATAAACTTAAAAAAATTGATAATGACTTTCTCACATACATTAAAACAATATTAAACATTTATAATCAAATCAAATGATTAGCTTAAGTTGAAGAAAAAATTCTGATTGAAACTAAAGAAAATTTATTAGTTAAATTAAAATAAAAATTCCAATCGAGTAGAAGAATATGGTCGAGAAATTTTATTTAATTTT